CTTCAAGCACAGGGACTACAAAATGAATGCCTGTTTCAAGTGGGTTCTCTGGTGTGTGCTCACCGCTTGCTCAGTTAAGTCACCAGGGAGCATCACCCAAACAAAACTGTCTGTGCACAGGACCAGGCCAGAGTCTGACCTGTGTGCAGAAACAGGTCTAGACAGGTTCAACACAACAACTGAGACAGATGCTACAGGCCACATGCAAAACCTTGCAGAAAACACATCTCTATGTGATGGCAAGTACTGAGGAAAAGCAGAGCTGGATAACCTCTAGACATTCTCTCCACTCCTTTGCAACTGCTTATTCCTCACCCAAAGCATAGGACAACACCAGAAGGACACAGCTGGTGGTATCCCAGACCTCAGGAGGGCAACACCCCAATGTGCTGTGTCAGGGTGAAGAGCATGCTGCTTGCTTCAGCATGTCCCCTCTCCTCCCCTTTTGCAAGCCTCCTTCACCCTTTTTCTCACAACCTCTTAGCTACACAAATGTTTGCCCATTCTTGCATCACACATAAACCCCGCAGGCCTGGATGGTCCTGCTCCTGCCTGTCTGGTAGTTGGAATGCTTCTAAATCTTCAGCAGTGCTCTTATACCAGCTTTCCAGAGCAATGCATTTGTTCATGTCATATCTTTGGAGTCTACAGAGCCATCACATACCATATTCAAACCATATTCATCTCAAACAGAGAATTCTGAAAAGCAAGAGGAAATAAAAGAGAGTTTAATACAGCTTTACTAAAATGGAATTTGCCAAAGACTCACAGAAAAATGGATTTAATTAGGGCTGCTAATGGGAAACAGTTTGTTCCTGTGATTTAAAACAGAAGTTAGATAATGCCTGTAATTCCAACATTTTTAAATTATATATAGGGGGATATTTCTCATTTCTACCTTAATTATAAAAATCCATCTTTATTAATCACAATTTTAAGGCAAATAAAGCAAAGGCAGTAAAAATAATGTTTTAGTTAATAATACTTTTAAGAACTTGCCAAAGAAGCAAAAGAAACTTCAGCATGGATAAAACAGACTTAACATGGTAAATCATAGTTGCAGGCAGTCCTCTGGATGCTACCTGAGGACAGCATAACAAGGTTAATTTTTTTACTTGGGAATATGTATGTAAAGGAAGGTGTTCTGTTACAAGAAATGAATCCAGGTGTAGTTTTTAGGGAATAATGGGAATGTCCTCCATTTAATTTCACAGCTAGTAGGTCTATCAAAGTTGCAGGCATTAGCTGGCCTGACATGATTCAGCTAATAATCCCAAATCCTAGAATTTTCTGCTACCCATTCTTACACTGACTACTGTAAGATTTTCTGAATTGCCTACAAATTATTTGTCCAGATTAGAGGAAATAAAATTATAGAACTGTGAGCCTCTTCTGCAGCCTTTGGTTTTATTTAAAACTAACAAATGTTGATTTTGTGGAATTTCTCCTGTTAGCTGGCTCTGACCACATGATCTAAGTAAATGAGTCCCAGCATTGTAAAGCACTGAATAATTTAATTACAAGTAGCCCAGACAACTGATAGGCAAGCTGGGCCTAGCTGATGTCACTGATGCAGATTCTTCACCAACCATACTGCATTTTAATATTATACCTTGATTCAGAGCAGAATCAATGAGTGAAGTTCAAATGTGGCACATTTCCTATTTCTCTGACAACTTATTTCATGGATCACAGGGAGCAAAGTATAGCTGCTTATTCAACAGAGGAAAGAATGAATCAATTTTCATTCTTTAACACACTGTGTGACCTATTCTCTTATGCTGTATCCTTTACAATGGCTTCAGTCTCTCCAAGACCTTCAAATTTGTTGGATAGAGAAAATTTAAAATAATGACAAAATGCCCTGCCCTGGGTCTGCTTCCAACTGACTGACTGCTCTGCTGGTAATAAGTCCAAATGGAAGCTATTATGTCACTCAGGTTGAATTAAACAGACGAATTATAGTCCTAGATCATTAAAAATTAAACTGTCTTCTGGAAGATTTCTGTGATTTCACTCCAAGCTCCCCACAAAAAGCACTGGATGCCACAAAGCTTTTGATCCTCATGTGCTCCAGTTTCTTCCCCTACTTCGGACAGTAGGAAGGACTAGCATGGCAGGATGGCAGCAGCTGCTGACCTGCACACTGCGCTGGTCGCAGCTGCATCTGCCCCATGCAGCAGCACTGAGGCCAGCACGGGGCACCAAGGCCAGCAGGCAGACAGATACAGAGGTGCAGGGCTCCCTCCCAATCTACCATCCCAAAGACCCTGGCACACCAAGGGGATACCAGAGCTCTACTGCTCTGCTTACCCTACCAGACTCCCTGAAGATAGCAGATAATATCACAGTTCTTTAGGCATGGCCAGTTGGTCAGAATTAACACAAGGAAATGAATAATTTTTCAATTTCATTGTGACTTTTTTTTTTTTTTAAGATTTAGAAATAGCCCTAGGTATTGTGGTTTTAAACACCCTCTGTGTACCATGTGTTTGTCTTCTTTTACTGTTAACCCTGGTTCACTGGTGACACTTGCATAGCTCCCGTCATTGATAATTTGGTACCAGCCTGTGCTTTTAACTGTAACCAAATTTCAGATATAAGGAAGCTTATATTCTAAAAGGAGAACAGAGCATAAGGGTGAGTGCTGTGGTCACCCTCGGCAGCCATAGGCACCCCAGAGTCAAGGCAGCAGGGCCAAGGGCAGTGGGCAGCAGCCTGGCACCAGAACAGAGGGGCAGCCAGACCCATGGTGGACCTGACAGCATGGCCTGAAGTAGAAACTCTGAAAGCAAAGAACTAAGACGCTTCTACTGGCAAAGATTTCTGGATCTCCTTTTTCAAACTCTTCTCCTGCCTCATTCTTCTTTATGACTGACCCCATGAGGTTTGCCTAGCCTTAAGACATAAAGGTAATAAATCTGGCCTTACCAGGATATCACCCAGATGAAACACACATATCACAGCCAGCTTTTATTTGCTTCTCTCTCTGCATATCCAGTAGTTCAAATCTAGGGCTTTCAAAGCAGTGGATTTGACAAATATCAGTACACGTGGGCAGACAAATTGCTTTTTCCAGTTCATAAGGTGAAACTGGGACAAGCATGGGTCACTAAATGGTTGAAGCAAATTATCTAGTCCAGACCTGTGTTTAAGCAGGCCATGAGATGTAGCAGAGGTTGCTGGTTTGATTTGTTTTCCCCTGAGAGACTAATTTTCCTTTTTTATTTTTCTGCCTTTTGTGCAGGAAGACCAAAGACCCATCACAGCTCAGGATGGCCCAGCAGTAGTAGCCATTCCACTTGCTGCTATGGTCTGGAAGCAAATAGGACAGTCAGCTTGTGAGAGCTGCTGGCTGAGCTCTGAACCCTTCAGTATCTGCCACCTCTTTTCTTACCCAGCCAGAAGTGTACTGCAGCTAAAGAAAACACCTGAACTTCCCACTGATCAGGTTTTGGCACAATTCTGGAGGACTGTAATGTGGAATGGAGGGAGCAGCCAGCAGGTATTAGACAGTCAGATGCTGAACAAGTGGATTTGGATGATGTTCACCAGATCAGCTTTGGGTGCACTAATGAGAACTGTGCATGCAGCACTGAGCACATACTGCCATAGAGGTTATGCTTGGTGTGCCTGTCACCAACCCCTGGCTATCGGAGACAAATGCCCACTATGCTCCAGTGAAGTAATGTTTACAATGGAGTTCTAACAAGACCTTTTCCCTTCATACAGTGTACAAATTAACAGTCAGCAGCCTTTGAAAAATGACCCTAATCCCTGTCCACATGGGGAGTTTGTTCCCAGTGCAAAGTGCCAGATTATGACAACAATACATACTTCAAGTGGGTGAAAACGAATGAATCACAACACCCTGACAGTGCTGCTATTCCTGAGTGCTTAGAAGCTGTGTAAAACTGACAGAGCAAGATTAATACAGCACTGAGATGTTACTATGCATGGCTGGTCAGGAGAATCCAGACTTACTTGCCATTACAGATGGGTTAATTCTAAAGGCTGCATTTGATTCTGAGCCATAGTTGCTCTCTGAGGAATTAGGGAAGGCTCAATCACATGAAGGACTGAATCGCAGGTGATAGTCCCATTTATGAAGAAAGCACTGGGTGATCCTAGAAACAAAGGATGTGAATTTGCCTGTTGCCTCTGTGTCCCCAAGAGCAGGCTGACTTTCCTGCACACCCCCAGAGGATCCAGACAAATGGAAGTGGACAACTTGCCTACAGCTGCAATCAGGAAGGCAGGACTGTCCCCAGCTAGAGGGATCACCAACACACGCCAAATATTCACTAGTCCATTTTCATAGTATAAACATCACAAGGTGCCAGGGAAATTATTTGCTATCAGGCTGACAGAGGAAGGCCAGTGTAATCCCAGGATCACATGTGGCTTTTTACCAGGAATCCTGTGGAGCCCAGATGCACTCAGGATTTCAACAGACTTCTGAGACACGCCTGGAGTGCAACCTCATCTGCTAGTTCAGAGCAGTGATCGAACACAGACGCTGCTCCAGAAGGACTCTGATCATGATCTCAACTACTCCTCACCTTGTCTGCTACAGGCTTTTCAGAAGCGTCTGCTAATGGCTGTGGCCAAAAAGAGGCTCCAAGTCAGCCAGCCTCCTATGCCTCAAGGAGCTTACTCTCAGATTGCTTCCATGGTGGTGCTGAGGGTCCTTCCATGGCTTGTCACTGCCAGTACCCAACAGCAGCACACCCCAAGCTCAAGAGGATCCCCAGCAAGGGAGTCCCTGTGTCTCAGTTACTTCTGCCCATCCACCTGCAGTGCTGTGGCATGTCCCCTACACCTGCAGTATCAGGTAGGCTATGTCATCAAAGAAGGCTTGGCCTGCAGCAGCAGGCAAAGGTCTCTTATTGCCCAAGACTTGACACAGCTGCACCTTGGACGCACTTCAATTTAAATGCAATCAAGGACAGACCTTCCCTGTCCTCAAAAGAGACAGAGCATGTGTCTTTTACATGTACCTCTTTCCAAGAGTAGAGATTTCAGATGACAATGATGTTGCAGTACATTATCCTGGTGAAATCATAGTTGCAGTGATGTCAGGATGGTCTCTGAGCCTCTTACCCCAGGCACCCTCCTCCCCAGGAGGAGCTGGTTTCTGTAATTACAAAGTGGAGTCGTATTAGAGGAAAACTAATCAGCTTGCTGAATGCCAACCAATTAAATATTAATCTAACTATTGTGAACACAAAAATATTAATCTTCAGATATTTTCTGGCACATGTGTCAAAATCAGAGTGGAACTAAAGCTTTATTCATTTTTCTATTATCAACTTAGATAAAAACACTCAGAAAAATGGGCAATGATACGCATAAACCACTCAGCACAGATAATTACAGAGTAAGTTTAGGCAGCTAATCACTTCTAGAATATGCTTCAGATCAAGATAACTCTGGCTTGTTTCCTTGCCTTCTTAAATCAGGCAGATTCTCAGCTTTGCCTAATGGCATGGAGCTCTCAGAGTCAGCATCTTTACTAAACAATAGGGCTGTCTCGCAGGCATGCTTATCCCACCAGTCAGCAGCAGGACTGGGAGATGGTGTCCCCACATCAGGAGAGCAATAGTGGCAGCTGAAGCAGGCAGTGGGTAGGGCAGGGACAGTGGGAGGAAGGCAGGGCAGAGCAGAGAGACAAAGAGCCACAAGCAAGGACATGTTGAAGAAGGATGAGCGGCTGCAGTGGCAACAGTGGGACAAGAAGACCAACTGAGGGAAGAGGTAACCTTGCAGGAGGCCATTCCCTGCAGGATACCAGCTCTGGCCTTCATGGCATTCACAATGAGGGATTCTTGGGGCTGCCCAGGAGCAGCTCCTGCACAGCACTTGCACCCACCCTGCCCATTGCCACCAGCCATGGTCAGAGGAAGGAACCGTACTGACACCAATGAATTCTCCTTTGGGGGAATCACTGGGGGCAAGAGGCGATTTTCCACAGCTCTTCCTCCAGCATGTCAGGCCCAACATTCCCAGGACTGCAAGTCCATGAGCTTTACACAACAAAGGCCTGAGTGCTGCCGGCAGCCAAGGCAGTGAGCAGGAAGGCGAGCTCCTGCTGGCTGTGGGACAGGTACCATGGATGCACCAGGGACAGCAGAGGGGGCACACCCAAGCCAGAACACATTCAGCTGCACTCTGCATAATCTGCACTTGCCAGTACCTCACCACTGCATTTTCTTTATTCAGAATGGAAAAAACTTCCCCTTTATACTTCAAGTCAGTAACCCTTACTTTCTCAATTTACACAGGAGTTTACCTTGGAACTAGGGAATTATTTTTATAACGGCATTCATGGATATTCTCTCTTCTCCTTAATTATTAATTTTGCTGCAGTAAAAAAGGGTGTTTAGGAATTCCATCAATATCAACAAAACTTTTGCATTAAAGTACTGAACTAAAGATCTTCTACTGAAGAAGCAACATTCACTTTTGCTTTATTTAAAGGAATTAAAGGATAACTACACTTCTATGGATGCTCTTGTGCAGCTTCTTAAATTCAAAAGCCTGCCAGAAATTATGCCTGACTTACTAGCTGCTTTATTATACCAATCCTAAAAGATATGAGTGGAGTGAAATAAATTGGGAGTTTCAAGAGCCCACAGGCCCTTCAGCAAGACACAGACCTTCAGAGATGACAGCAGCTCTGTTAGTTAACTGGTGCTCAGTATACTGCTTTGAAATGCCAGTGTCTCTTCCTGTTAAGAATTGTGCACCAGCTGAACCCTTCAGTGATGTCACAGAATGCTGTGCTTGGCAGGCTCTGTTCATAGCAGTGCTAGAGCTGCTTTGGAGACAAATGAAGAAATTCCATATTTACTTCCTTTAGCACATTCTATGTCCATCCTTTCTTTGGTCATAATGATGAGCTTGCATTGTGTGGAATGCTGAGCTGTACTATTTCTCATCCTTAAGATCCCCATCAGGTAGAATGCTATGGGGAAGTGCCAGCCATGGATTTTTCAGAGTGGTCCCCGCGATTTGTCTCACCGTTGAAAATGCATCTCTCTAGAGATACACAAACTAAAGCAGCAGCTGTTCCTGGGGATTACATATTCCAAAGTACATATTCCCAGCTATTTATAAATTACATTGCTAAACAGGAATTGCCAGAGTTTCTTCTTCCACCAGTGTTTTTCATTCTGATCCAGTCCGACCCTGACAAACAGTAACTTCCCTGAAAAAGGCATAGTCTCTTCTGTTTTCTAAATAATCAGCAATCTTTCTTTCATCTTGATTTAAGAAACTGACGATCTTGAGGTGTATTCTGCTTAGGATCCCAAGGGCTTGGCACAATATGCTGACAGAAGCCAGTGAATTATTCCAACTGGGCCTAAAAACAACTCAAGCTTTTGTCAATATAAACCAAAAATGACCATGCTCTCATTCTGGGAGAAACTGCAGTATTAGAAAGCATAGGTTTGACAAGACAAGCTAAAACCTATACTTTTCAGATTCCAGCAGGTCTATTATTAATTATTTAACAACATGTTTTCTTATAGTGTCTTTGTGCCTTTAATTTTCAATTCCCTTAATGCTAGGAGGATCTCTGCTGGCAACACATAAATTATTAACAGAGTTAAAACAATATTTGTTTTCCCCCAAATACATTTTTGAATGCTGTCCTCATACCAGTTAGGTTTTTCTGAAACTTTAATGAAGGTCTCTGATTTCCTCCAGACTCATGGCTGAGGCACAGGCTTGGCTGGGCCTTTGATTTGGCTGTGGGAGCACATGTGGCACCACCACATCCTCACACTGTTCATCCCACTGGGGCTGAGGGAGTGATCAAGCAAAACAGCTGTGACGAGGCAGGAGAAACAACAGCATGTCTGTAATGGGAAATTCAGTTGCTGAGTTCAGAGGCTGGAATACTTTCCTCCTAACAAAGAAATATACAGTGCAGCTCCTTTAATCTACAAGAGAGCCATTTTGATTCAGCAAAGGGATACTTGAAACATCATGGGTTTAAGAATTTTATGCAATCTCAGCCACTTCTCTCTCTGCCAGGGAGCATATAAAAAATTAAAACCCCAAATATTGCTTCTTGCTCTTCTAGGCCCTAATTACAAATACATTTTCAAAAGGAGGAGCCAGCTTAAGCCTAATATTGTGCAAAATCTCATACTTTCAATACAGTCTTCACTTGATGTGGATTGGTAATTGGAGCTGTAGAATCAATTTTTCCCACACTTGAAACACTCAAATGAGTATGAAATGTGTTGCATTTGTTCCATGCACGTTTACAGTTCTGCACTTTGCTTGGAGTGGAATGATCATTCTGATGTATTTTTTATAACAGAGCAACATTTCCTCAGACTTTGATGTTTCATGTGCAGAGCTATTATAACCATTTGCCATTTAAGTGCATGATCCATGGCTAATCTCCAAAGCTTTGATGCATGCAATAATTATTATTATTGATGTCATTGCACCATATTTAAAATATGAACATCTCATTATAAGCCTAAAGCTAACAGAAAAGAAAGGCAACCATTCCACACCAAGACTGGAAATTCCCTGTTGGAAAACATCTGAAGGGGTGTAAGATGTCATTCCACAGGCTCCAGTGGGGCACTGACTGTGAGTGCAAGGGTTCTGAGAGCAGAAGGGTGATGCAAAGTGTGTGCTGGCCTCTCCACTGAGAGCAGCTCTGGAAAAATGAGAACTGGGGTCTCCAGATCATATATTCTGACAATCGGTTTTTGAACTTTGATCCTGAACTCAGGCATATGGCATGTTTCAGCAGCTTCTGCACCTAGGCCTCTGAGTAATTTTATCTGTACCCTGTGTCACTGGCATTCTGGAGACCAATATTCATTCCAACCACAGTTTCCAGACCTGACTAAGCAGAACACCTGGAAGCACCTCAGAGCTCTCTCCCACCTTTTTATGTAATCTGGGTCTGAATAGATTATTAATTGGGACATTGTCATGACTGTTTTCAATGAGGACTGAAAATGTGTGTGCCTGTATTAACACTTTCAACTGGCTAAAATGTACCTTAAAGGTCTCTAATTACACTGAAACAAACTGGATTAATGTATTTAGTTAATGGTCCATTTATGCTACTGGCAGCTGTTTCTGGAAAGTCAAATTAACAACTCTGAACATCTGACTAATAGGAAAAACATTGTACTTTGATTGTACATGAATGTTAATGGTTAATACATTTTCAAAGCTTCTGTATCAAAAATTAAATCAATATTTCCTTTAACCACCTTAGCATAATGCCGTAACTGTGGAAAAACTTACTAGAAAATAATGACAGAAAATAAACTAATATCTTCAGCCTAAAAAGTCACATGGGTCTGAATGCACTAGAAATAGTCTGTCTGGAGCATATAGGACAAGATTAGTTTGATTCTGAAAGGTGGAAGGCTGAAGCTGCTAAGGTCAGCCTGTGCCCAGGGATACCTGGGATCATTCTGCAGCACAGTCTGGCTTACACAGCAGCTGACACCAAGCTAATGCTGTCACCCTGCCAACCCTTACAGATGGAGGTGTGCCACCAACAAAACTGTGGCTCCTGCAAGCCAAGCTGAGCACAAGGACCAGCATGTCCAGCCAGGGTCTGCCCTTGTGCTGCTGTGTAGCGAGACCACCTTTCCACACTTCCATAAGAGGTGCTAACTATAGCTGCCTCTGCCTTGCTCAGGCTCCACCGGTTGATCTGGCATGTTAAATCTGAGAAGAAATTTCACTGACTTTATTACCTATGGACAGTGTTTTACATGGCAAGATCAAGAGAGAGAACACAAAGAGTGATGAGCTGAAAAAGAGAACAAGAACAAAAGGCCAGCAAGGGCAGATGTAAGGATTGGGGGCCGAGGGTATGTGAAAGCATCAGCAGTTAGGGAAGAGAAGAAGCACTTTGGAGGCATAAGGCAATTATGCACAAAGACACTCACTGTCCATTGCCTGGATGTCTCATTGTTCCCCCCAGCCTTACTCAAACCATTACAACCAGAGCTGTGCCTTCTATTGCCTCTATCTCTTCAGAAGTGCTTGTGGTTGCCCTGATCACATGAATCTGACCTGC